AACAGCGAGCGTCCTCGGATGGATTTGAGCCTTATGTAAGAGCTGTAAGCTGCAGGGAGGGGAGGGGTGGGACTCCAACCGGCACGCCAACGTCACTGGGCCAGTCGTGGACTACAGGACACAAACAAGCTAAGCTCAGTCAGCCAGTAACTGATATGAAGAAGCCTGAGGAGTGTGCAGTCTAACACAAAATGATCATCTATTAAAATACAAGAGAGCCAAAATATTAGGAACACACCAAGCACCACGACCTTTGGATTTTGGTCCATTTGAAAACCGTTACTGATCTTTTATTAACCACTTCGACTCTAGACGTTTATTATATTGACCATTAAAGTGACGAAGGCCACATTAAATTTAATAAGAAATAAATCGAGATTTTATAAAGACTGCAGTGTGACCGGGCCCAGGACCATTTGAGGCTTTATATGCTTAAGTTAGGGATGCAAACTTTTTCCATCTCTAACACCTCAGCTTTTGGTATCTGCTGATCCCATGCCGATAATAAGTTAATAGGTCATATTGCTCAGTGAGGAAAAGACCAGGCTGATATTGATCCAGGCAAACGTGGTGAACATCAGCAGGACCTTCAGGTCACGTCTGGTTTAAACTAACACAATCAATGACAAATCAGCTGTCAGCTCTGTGATCAATGGTTTTCATTGCACACAGGTGGACCGTGCTGCTTCACGGCTCTGTTCACAGAGGCCACAAAGCCTCGCCACACGGGCCGACTTGGCTCTGAAGAGGAAGTGAGGAGGAGGACAAGCAGGAGGAGGCACACACACTGACCTTCCACACATGCTCTTTGACCCCTGAACAACCTCCAGCACTGAGGCGACACAGCAGCCAGCTAATACGCTGCCAGCGAGGAGGGAGCGGCAGAAGGCCAAGGCGTCGCTGCTCTAACACTGAAGGTTAGCAGTGAAAACAGTGTTACAACATCGACGCGTCTCCGAGCTCTTTAATGAGCGAACAGCTCCGTCACATGCTTATGCAGTTATTTAAAAACACTGCAGAGAAAAGAGGGAAGAGCTTGTCTCTGCAGCTGTGAAACACAGAGAGTCCTGTCTGTTAAATGCAGTTTTCCTCACAGACTCTGGTGCGAGTGCTGTTAAAAATAAAGAAGGCTGATGGTTTCCAGGCCGCGGCCTGAAGTCACACTCGGGTCCGGTTATTTTAACACACCACACTCCGCCGGCCTGACCCGCCTGCAGTAATGATACAGCCAGAGTCCCCGCCGGAGACCCAGAACCAGGACAGCATCTGGCCCACTTCTGCTTCCTCGGCTCTGCAGAACAAACTCAAATTAAACCTGCTCTGTGTAGCTGTATCATGGACTATAATGCTCTTTACTGGACCTAAGTGAGAAGAAACTGAGCCAGCTTTAAAGACTGAATGGCCTGCGAACTGACCTCAGCATGGACAAATGGAGTAAATGGAGCTTTCGGGATCAAATCTAACATCTTCTTTCTGTCTGGAGTTCACTAAACTCATCAAGGAGAGGAACACAAGGAAGGAAGCAAGGAAAGAAAATAAAGCAAGGACACAATAAATAGAAGAAAGGAAAGAGGAGCAGATGAAGGAAATTAGGCAGTGAGAAAGAAACAAGCAGACCAGAGGATGGAGAAAAAAAGGACCTGAAAAAAAAGTTGAGGAAAGAAATTAAAAGAAAAAAGGAAAAACTGGGCAAACGAAGAAAGAAAGCTAGGTGGGAAAAGGAATCAAGCAAAGACAAATGGAGGGATAAAGGAATGAAAAACATAAGGCAAAAAGAGAAGGAAATAAGGACCCAATGAAGGGAAGATTGATAAAAAGGAAACAAGAAATAAGAGTTAAGGAAAGGAAGAAAAAATAAAAAGATTCAAGGAGGAGTTAAGGAAACAAGAAGGAATTAAATTAGGAGCACACAAGACTAGCATGCAAGGACAGAAGGAAACAAGGAAGGATGGAAAGGTGAAGGAATGAAGAAAGAAAAGAAGGATGAAATGAAGGGATGAAGGAGGAGAAAATTTAGCAAGGAGAAAAGGAAACAAGAAAAGAAAACGAGGTAAGGAAAAGTAAGAAAGGAGAAGAAGTGGAGTTACAGAAAGAGAAGAAATGTAGAACAAACGAGGCAAAGTTAGGATAGCGAACAGGTGACACTTTAAGGAAGGAAACAGAAAATGATGTCAAATAAAGAGAAGGAGACGAGCAAGGAAAAAAATAAAAATAAAAGGAGAAATGAGGAGAAGGAAGTAAGGAAGGAGAAGAGTCATCTCTCCATCATCCCTCCATCTCTGCTCCCTGCTGCAGCATTTCCTCTAATAGGATTTTCTCCCTATTATACCCATTGTAGTGTGTGTGTGTGTGTGTGTGTGTGTGTGTGTGTGTGTGTGTGTGTGTGTGTGTGTGTGTGTGTGTGTGGTTTATGTATGGAGGCAAAGCAGAGAGGAGGATCAAAGCTATAACTGAGAAACAGCTCGACTCATCTGGAGGAGCTTCAGCTGCTGAAGAATCACGAGTGTGTGTGTGTGTGTGTGTGTGTGTGTGTGTGTGTGTGTGTGTGTGTGTGTGTGTGTGTGTGTGTGTGTGTGTTGGGAAGATAAAAAAAGAGAAGAAGAGTCTTTGAGAAAAAGCAGATAAATTGATGCAAACGTAGACGCAGTAATTGGCATCCAAGACTGAGTGTGTGCATTTTTACAGCCCATATTACTTCTGCATGGCTGCGGATGTAGGTCAAACACACACACACACACACACACACACACGCACACACACATTCCCCTACATTTACTCCCAACAGACACACACACCAGTCGAGTCCATTAAGACAGCGAGGTGAGGGGCCGTCTTTATCAGACAACAATCCCTGGCCTCGGACAGAAAAAAAAAAGTTCCCCTCTGTACACTGATGAGTAGGTGCTCTGAAATCACCCAATCAGGACGCAGCAGCAGGATGAGGTAAGCGCATACAGGTGTTGAGTCAAATGACAAGAAAAAACTGATCGACCAGAGAGATTAGAGTGGCACGTCAGAGCAAGACGAGGAAGCTGTCGCTCACAGCGTCCAAACACATTATTTCCTAACTATTAAACACTAATTACAGTTATTATTCTTATTAAAATGATTACTACGGAGAACATGGAATCTTAAAAAAAGGTAACATGAGCTTGTGAAGTCAACATTACACCACATTTCATACCTCAAACAGACCGAAACATGGACTAAAAGAGCGCAGAGCCCAACAACATTTTCTAAATCATTTACAGCACTTCTGGTTATTATGATTAGTGTGGAGCTAATGAAGCCAAACACCCAACGAGAAGCATGTATGTCGATGCTAGAAGCTCATTTAGACCTAAGAGTCTAGCCAAATTAAACAACACAGATTATTTTCTTTAAATGCGCCGTTCCTGGTTATTATTATTATTAGTGTCATCATCATCCAGCCACTCCCTGAGGCTGCTTCTGCTGGAGGTTTCTTCCTGTTAAAAGGGAGTTTTTTCCTTCCTACAGTTGCCAAAGCACTTACTCACAAGTGGTTATGTGATTGTTGGAGTTTTCTCCATTATTATTGAATGGTCTTTACCTACAATATAAAGCGCCTTGAGGCAACTGTTGTTGTGATTTGGTGTTATATAAATAAAATTAATTTGTTAATATTACTGTGTAGCACGGCATGGTAAACAACCAATATGAGCACCAAAGCGCGGCGGTGTTTCTGATAGGACCACTGAGCCCTTTTTGTTTAAACTTCAAAACTGACAGAACGCTGGACTGAAAGCCGCGTGCAGCATGTTAAACACAAGCCGTAAGAGTGTGTGCGCTCTGCGGTGAGGAGCCGTTGTTAAAATGCGCCGCAGCATTTTAAACGCGATGCTTTGTGCCTTCAAACTAGGAGTTAAAAGCCTGGCTTGCCTTCGTCTTGCAGAGGCGTAAACCTTTGAACGCGCTGCCAGAAGAGAGAATCAAGTCATTCAAAAACCAAAAGAAACAGAAGTTGAACGTTGAACTTCAAAATAAAGGCCTCCCTGCTGAGGTTTTCTTGGTCAGTGTGAACATGAAAGAGAAAAAGTAACAAAGTAAGAAATCAGGCTGACAGATATTTTCTTGATTAATCTGCAAAATGTGAGGGAACAATGAGAAAAGCAGCATTTAATTGTTCTGCTGCCCTTAGTTATTTTAATTTGAAAGGTTTTCCCACACTGCTGAAGGTGTGAACAGCCACACTTCAGCCTCCAGTTTCAGGACTTCTCTCAGGACAAACAGGTCGTCTGCAGAAACAACAACTTACCTGCCAGACGCCGTCATCTGGCAGCTCGCTGGGTTGGGGGGGTTAACGCCTCAGGAATCTCAAACATGTGAAGCCATGCCCTGCACCACCACAACCATCCACCCACCCCCACCCCCTCTGTGTGATCAGACTCTAAACCTGTTAGTCCACCTCTGAGAGTCCTGCAGAACCCAACGCCTGTGGAAAGGTCACAGAGACCCTACGAACAGGACAAAACAGAGCTCCTTCAGAATAAAAGCCTCTAAACAAACCTTGCATCAGCCGAGACAGCTACAAATGATTTCTGCTTTATGTGTTTGTTTCTGTGTTTAGTCTTTGTGGTCCTGCACGGACTCATTTATGGAGCCTTTAAGGTTCCTCTGCAGAGGACAGAGGCTGATGGAGAAAACATCCATCTGTGAGAACAACAACTAATGCACTTCCTCTCATCTGTCATGTTTTCCACTCGTCCCCTCTCCATGGAAAGAGGATGCTGCAGATAAAAGTCAAACTGCTCCCTGTTCCTACTTCCTGTCTGACATTTTTAACCCTTCATTGGCTTCTGTCTCACCATGCTTTGGATGGAGGTGATGGCGCTCTGCCTCGTGTTGAATTTGCTGAGCTCCGAGTAATGAAAGACAAACAGCAGCAGAGTCTCAACCAAACACCACCCTGCTGTTTAAAACAAACACACACTTCACACTCAAACATCCACACACTCAAACCCTTGTGGTCACGTGTTTACCGTCAGCGCTGCCTCCGTTCATGCTCTCCGTGCTGGACTGCGACAGCACCGTCCTCCGGCTGCGGCGCAGCGACCTGTTGGTGCTAGGGCTCCCCACCGGCGTGGACGTGGAAGCACCGTCCCTCCTGGAGAAGATCCCGCTGAAGAAGCGAACCAGGCGCCGCTCGCTGGAGCGTCCCCCACCTCCCCGCAGCAGGAAGCCTCCACCTGCTGCCCCGGCAGCGTCCTTCTCTTCCGCCAGCCGCAGCAGGTCGCTGTTGTCCAGTGTGCGGTTCTTGCTGCCTTGCGCCCTCTCCCAGCGGCTCAGCTCGGACATGGAGTCCGTCTTGTTGAGGACGGCGCCGACCTCCAGTGTCCTGCTCTTCTCTCTGGTGGGGTCGAGGAGGCGGGCTGTGGGGAGCGGCGCAGCCGGCTCGTCATTCTTTGCGGCGTCCTGGCCAATGCAGCCGGAGCTGCTGTGGTGTTTGTCTTTGGAGAGCGCCCGCAGGCGCAGCAGCTCGCCACCGCTCCAGTGCCTGAAGCTGAAGCTGCGGCGCAGCAGACCGGGTGGGCGCTTCAGAGGAGGTGGAGTCTCCGGGGGGCCTTCTGTGGACGGCGCCCCGTTACTTTTAGAGTGGGCCAGCTTCCCGACGCTGCTCACGGGCTCCAAGCTCTGCTCCTCCACGCTCTTCGCCTTCAGGAGCTTCTTCTTCTTCTCGCCAACACCACCGTTCTCCACCAGTGCCTGTGGTGCTTCCTCCACCTCCCGCTTGCCGCCGTCCTCCTGCCCGGGCTCCGCCAGCGGACTGGTGGCCTTGGCGCCCCGCTGCAGCAGCTGCTTCCGGCAGATCTTCAGCCTGCCAAGCTCCAGCTGGCCCGTGCTGAACGTCCTAAAGTTCCGCATGTAGCCGTGGGAAGAAGAGAAATCCTCCGACTCGTCCTCCACCTCCTTCAGCTGCTCCAGCAGACCTCCCCGCTGCACCTCTGCCGACCCCTCACGCCTGAAGGCGCCCACCTTTGGGTTCTCTGCCCGCCGGGGCACCGAGCCCTCGTCCTCTAAGCTCTCCCTCTTCACCAGCGTGAGGGAGATCCGGTACACAGTCTTTCTCTGAGGAGCTCCTCTCTCCATCCTCTCAGAGCTGCTACTGTCCAGCAGGTACATCGCCTCCTTCAAAGCTCATGTGAGAAACTGTGAACTGCTCCTTTACTTTAAAATATTCGGGTTCAAAGAGAAACTGTGAACTGCTCCTTTAGTTTTATCCTCTGAGCACTAACCTCTGCAGGCTGCTGATGGGTCTGCGGGTAAATCCAGTAAACTAACATGCATTAACTCCATAAACCAGCTCCAAACCCAGGCTTTCCTCTTCATCCAGATGTGTAAACAGCGGTTTGGAACGCAGGAGACACTCGGGGTTCATCCCAGCCGGATTCACGACACACAGGCGCGTCCTCCGCGGCTCCCACGGGGCTCGCAGCTGAGCTCCTCCCGGTGTCTTAGGCGTCCTGCCCGGTCAGAGGAGGTCCTCACTCCGCGCTGAGTCCCGGCTCCAGCTCCGGTGTCTTTACAAACCAAACCGGGCGGGGAGACGCTGTTCGAGTCCCGGACCGTCTCCCATTGTGTGCGCACATCCCCCGCAGCGCCGCGCAGCAGCCAGCCGGGCCTCTCGCTCCTCAAACCCGCTTCACTTGTGCTCCAAATGCCGCTGAATTTCCAGCTGAAGACCCGGACCTCCGCTCACACTTTAACCCGCCGACAGTAAACACCGGACCGGACAGCCACCGTCCCCCGCTGCACTCTGAGCGATCTCCGCTCCACACACACAGACACACACTGAACACCGGCCAGCGGCAGCAGCAAAGGATGATGGGGAAACACGGTGCGGAGACCTCACAGGAGCCGGAGTGTTAAACCACGTGTTTATTATTTACTCTTACAGCAGAGCCTGGGCTTTTTTAGAGGCTCTGTTAGCGGCACCAACACTGAGAAGGACAATTTCTCCTCACTATGGCTAAAATATATGGAGGCCTGAAGCTGCCAAAATAAAAACAAACCAAAAAATTGAATTGAATTAAATTCCAATTTAAAGAAAAACTTAGTGCAAACAGTTTATTTATTCACTCATTCAAACACATTTAAGGAGGACTGAAAATCCCAAATTAGAAAGAAAGGATGAAGTAATGCATATATATATATATATATATATGCAACAGCTTATTCATAAAAAATATACTAATTGACATTTTAGGTGTTAATTCACTTATTCACTATTTTACTTTTGTGTTTATTTTATTGGTTTGTCCATTGAAGCTTGTTTATCTCTATTTTTGTAATACAATTCTTTTGTCCTGCAATATGAAAAACAAACAGGATGGCATTAAGATTTTCTTATGGAGGACCAAAAGTACTAAAATAAAAAAATAATTGTGTTAATGAATATATAAATAACAAATATAAATGCAACAACAACAAAAAATTAAAAAACATTCATGGCTATTAATTAATTTATCAAATTTCACATAAATGAATGCTTCTGATTTGGTTTGCTCCTGTATGTGTTTCATTTTAAATAATACCTGCATTTATTTACCTTCCTGTTTAAATTTGGATTTTCTTCCCTTTTTTCTTTTATTTACATAACCTTTTGAAGTACAGCCCCCTTTTTGCAACAATGAATAATAAATTAGAATACGCACATATATACATACATATACATATACACATATATGCTTGCAATTATTTTGTTTTTTAATTATCTATTATCTATTATTTATTATTATTTTGATAATTTTTTTCCCTTTTTTGGCAGTTTCAGTCTTCCAACTTTGGATACTGAAGCATGGATTTTATATTCTGGAGCAGGTTTCTCCCTTCAGCAGGCTGGAAACTTTCCTAAAATAAATGCTGAGGACCTGATGACCCTAAGCTGTGGCTTTACTTCCTGCTCTGATCTACATGTAAGTCAGCTGGGCAGTAGCGGGGTCACGCAAGAGCAAACTCCAGCTCTGGTTTTACCGTCTGCACCGCCTCCTCTAAAGCAGGGGTGGAGCCTCCTCTTTCTCCTCTCTGTCTGTCAAGCTCTTTGAAGCCTCCCGGGCAGCCATGGAGGCAAAAGCTGCACCCACAGGGGCACAAAATCAAATTTGAGGTGGAAGAAGCAGCAGAAAGAGGAGCTGAGGAGCTTCTGATGGTGGAATACACACAAACATTTAAGTGATGTTTAACTGAACCTGAGTGTGCACTGATTTAATCCCAAACAGTAAGCAAGAAACATAAAAATAAAGACGCAGAAACTGAAAAGTCTGAAAGAGGTCTCCATCTCCAGAGGAACCACTAGATTCCAACATCTGAGTTTCTCCCTCCTGTTTTACAGTCCCTGAAACACCGGGCTCATGCTGATGATCGCAGTAATAACACACTAAGGAGTTCCGCCTTAGTGAAGTTGAGGAAGTGATTCTGCTTTTAGGCTGGATATCTCCCAACCTATGAAGTTATGAGGAAACAAAAAAGATGGAAAAGTGGCTTCCTTAGATCTGCACACTGGAACAATATGAAGCTGCGGGCTTCTGGGCTGTTAAAGAGCAGATTGAAAGAATAAATCCACCTTAAAAACATTGTTTAGCTTCAGGTACCTCACAGCAAAGATTACACATATGCTGTGTTTAGGGGGGTCCTCTTGTGTTTAGACCCAGTGTCACTATGAGCATGTGCAGCTTCATCACCGCTCTAACTTTGAAATATTTAAGGTGGAAGTGAGAAGTGGGTCTGCGGTTGCTGTTTGTCACGTGACCTGCGCCTCTTTGATCAGTTTCTAAATTAAAGCGAAATCCTGAGTGGAAACTTGTTCTCTCAGCGCTTTCTTTCATCACGACTTCTCATCTCTGAAGTGCCTCCCTTCATCTCCGAGGAGGAGGAGTGCGGGGGAGGATTAACTCACCCTCCTCTTCCTCACCGTCAGGCCTCGGCCTCTGACGCCGGGTGGATGATTAGTGGGATTAATCGAGATTAGACGAGCAGCTGAGGGCAACTTTCTCCTTCCACTTTTCGATTGGGAAGCACATAAAGGTAGTTAATGTGCTCCCCCCCCCCAAACGAGACACCGAACATCAAACGCACCTCCACCTGACGACAGAAGTACGGAGAGGGTCGCTGCCGCTCAAGCACAGGTGGAAACAGCTGGACGGAGATGGGTAAAGGCTGCCGTTGTCACACGAAGCTGGAAACATTGTGCATCAAGGTGAGGAGGGGGATGGTGGAAGCAAACTCCACGCCGAGATGGCAAATTACACGGCAACGCACGCTGCCCCTCCGTGACATCAAACACACCTCGCAGCCTTTCATCCCGCAGCAGCCTCGGACTCAGACGTGAGATAACTCGAGTGATGTCACAGCCACCAATGCAGCTCCTGACTCCGGCGGCGGAGTCTGTCACGGCAGGTGGAGACATGAAAACCATCCTCTGCATGTTTGTCAGCGAGTCCTCGTGTTTCTGAAGGTTTGGTTCTCAAACCGGAAAAAAAAACAGCGACTTGTCCTGAGGGACAGTCTGTGTCCTGGAGTCTGTGTACAGCTCAGCTCAACACCTGCGATCAATTTATTCGTCCAATCGGGCAACCATGAGGTCAGACCTTGGTCTGGACATGAGAGCTTCAGTTCATGGACACAAAACGTCACGTTTTTTGGGTCCATGAGCACAAATGTGTAAGTAGTGTATTTCAACAGTAAGTATATTAGTGTAGTAATCTGTTGTGGTGAAGATGGAGCTGAATCTGTCGACTTATTGGTCGATCTACAGTCCTTCCCTCGCCCATCAGGTCGAGGATACAAGCAGCAGAATTGAGCTTCTCCATTTAGACTGATGCTCCACAACCTTAATCCACATATTCAGATATTTTGTGCGCAGAATAGAACGTCTTTGGAGGGGTCCTCATGGCAACCAATCTTTAAAAGACATGGCAACCGATGCATTTTAACCCAAACCTAACTCACCGGTTTTTCTTCCATAATATATAATTTTCTAACCCTAGAACACTAACGTGAGTTTCTAAGACTTTAATGAGGAAGAAAATCAAGTCCAGAAACTAATGCAGCTTTCAAATTAATAGGTTTTAAAGGCTTTAGGTCGCTGGCTCACTAACTGGTACAAACACAGTGAGGCGCTCTCCCTCTTAAAAGGTAAAATCTGCAGCAGAAAGCAAACAAAGACTGAAATTATTGGGGGGGGGAGTGTCTTTTTCTACCCTCTGCAGGTAAAAGAGTGCTCAAGGGCACTTAGATGGTGGGTGCTTTTGGTCAGGAAAATGACAAGGTCTCGTCAAAGTCAGCGCTGTGTTAATTCCAATCGATCAGCTCGATCAGAAACAGATCAGAGCTGTCTGCGGTAAGAGGCTGCTTTATCTCGACGTCCTCCAAAATGAGCTGTTAGCTTTTTGTGTGTGTGTGTGTGAGGATTTGTTTTCTCTTTCCTCTCGTTAATCATCTCGTGACCTCCCAGATTTATCTGGTGACCCCGTGTGGGGTCCTGACCTCTGACAGATACCAGTGAGAGGGATTTATAGCCGGCGCACTTTGAGGAAGGTTATTTCTCATTTTCCTGTGAGTTTAAGCTTCCTGGTGCAGGCTGTTTGCAGTAAAGTTGGAATCTAAGTGTCCGCAGAGGTCTGCAGAGCTTTAACCTGTCCTTTAAGCTTTAATCTGGCTCTCTGGGGACCCCGCCGCCGCCACTGCCCTTATCGGGCCCTGCAGCACCCAACCCCGGCAAGAGCGTGGACAAACACCGCCACATCAGAGAGGGTCACTGCGGCGAGGTTTATAGAAGGAGACAAAAGCAGCTGGATATTTGAAATGGTGATCTGCGAGCACAGCGGGATTAACCGGGGGTCAACTGCAGCCGGCAGGTGGAGACTGAAAACCAATGGAGGAAAAGATGGAGACATGGCTGTTAAATGGGATTACCAAGAAGTGTCTGGAAACAGCTCTGCTGCTGCATTTAAGGCAAAGGAAAAGCCTTAAAATAACATTTGAAGCCTTGATTGAATAGAAATCACCTCTTCAGAAACACGTTACTGCTCCTAAGACACTATACACGCGTCTTTTTCCTCGGTTTTCAACAGATCTTAAATTCACATCTTCCTTATGGTTTGGGAGCAACATTGGGGAAACAAGCCTCTTTCTTCTTTTTCTTTTTTTTTTTTTTCTTTTTTTGTCTCTTTCTTCAAGGCAAATTTCACTTTATCTTCTTTGTTTTAGTGGCTTTAAGCAACACTGAAAAGGTTTGAATTAATCTTTCTGTGGATCATATTTCCAGCTCTTGATCCTGAAATGACATAAACACCCACACATGCAAAATCAGGCCATTTATTTTATGGGTTTTACATAAACACACTAGAGTCTAGTGTGAAGAAGTCTTAATAATATACTTTATAACTAATAGCAGTCATTTGAATCTACTATGAATAGACTCTGATCTGTTTACAGGCCAGTCACTTCAGTCACTTTGGGTCTCAGCGAGCATTACACGAGTACAGATGCATAAATCTATATAAAGTTATAAAACAAGGCTCATTTTAAAGCACTGATACTGATCAATACATCAGGAACAGGCGAGCTCAGAGGTAAACTAAGAGAGAGAGAGAGGTGGTGTGTATCTGCTGACTGACCATCCCAGCATCCATCTGCTGTGTCGGCACGCTCTGGCTGCCTCACATGAAATATGTATGCAGCTCTGCAGACACTGCCAAAGCGTGTCTGACACGCCGCACCACCACGAGGGAGAAACACACACCTCTGTATCTGGAGTCGAATCTGCTGTTTCTGGGATTAACTGCTCGGCCCTTA